TGGAGATATAATTCAACACACATTTTTAAAGTACACCATTTGGTGGGTTTTAATATATTCACAAAGTTGAATATATTAAAGTCTAGAACATTTTCATCATCCCCAAAAGAAACACTGTATCCACTAGCAGTCACTCAATTCTTCAAAATCCCCCAGCCCCTGACAACCACTAATCTCCTTTCTGTCTCTGTGGGTTTTCCTGTTCTGGACATTTTGTATAAATGGAATCACACAGTATGTGATCTTTTGTGTCTGGCTTCTCTCACTTAGCATAATGTTTTCAAGGTTCATCCACAGTTTAGCATGGATCAGTATTTCCTTCCCTTTTCTAGGCAAATAATATCCCCATGGATGTATATACCATATTTTGTCTATCCATCATCCATTGAGGGACATTTGGGTTGTTTTGCTCTTTGTGGATTATGAATACTGTTGCTAAGAACTTTTATGTCCGGGTTTTTGAGTGGACATACATGTTGCTTTCTCTTGGGTGTATACCCAGGAATTGGAATTGCTGGGTCATATGGTAACCTTCAGCTTTCTTACTCAATTACAGCAAGAGCAAATTAATTTCTTTCATTCTTATTTTTTTCCTGATTAAAAAGTAATAAATATATGCAAGTTATAAATATTCAAACATCATTGAGATATATAGTATAGAAAATGAATGTTTACCTCATTTCCCTGAGTTAACTGCTGCTAGCAGTTTCCCCCCAGTTATATGCTAACATTTATTATCAATGTAATTTTTTAAACAATAATGCTATCCTATGTATACTCTATTAAGAAAGCTTGTAAATTTCCCAGAGTGGTCTCAATCACATGGTTTTCCTGATTGTCTAAAGGAACATTCAACCACAGACACACGCCCCGTCCACCAAGCAGGGCTGGTTCAGAGGCAGATCCGTGTGGCTTTGATGTCCTTGCCGCCCGCACCTGCCCTGGCTCCAGGACTCAGACTGGAGTCTGAGTGCACCCTAACTCTGGGCAGTAAGCCTGTACTTGAGCCCGAGATGCTTATTAGGGTATGTTTCAGATCAGGCAGCCTAATGTCCCAGATCCCCAGGGCCCTGCAGTCCCAGTGACATGATTAATTATGCCTCCTTTTCTCTCAAAAGTGATCAATTATACATTCACTTCAGTTCTCAGTCGCCTGTGATATTGCTTCTCTCCTGAGATGGCTTTTTATGCCGCTGAAGTTCCTCGATTGCCATGGCTCCCAGGGGATTCTCTTTTCATGCTGTCCAGTATCAGCCACGTGGGTGCTGGAATTTCTAAGGCTCATGCCGCACAGTCGTGGGCACTGTCTTCTCGGGAAGGACAACTACTTGCATTTACCCCAAAGCCTCTCACCCCAGTGCTGTGCTGCCTCTGTGCTTTCTGCGTGAGAAACAGGTGCAGGTCCCACTGGACGTATTACTCTTTCTTGAAAGGCTGGCTCAAGTGATCTCTCCTCTGTTCACGCTCCACTCAGGTTCCCCCCAGCGAGTCAACGGCAAGGTGAAAGGAAGGATCTTCGTGGGGACCAGCCAGGTCCCCGTTGTCTTTGAGAACACCGATCTCCACTCCTACGTGGTGATGAATCACGGCCGCTCCTACACAGCCATCAGCACCATTCCCGAGACCCTCGGCTACTCGCTGCTTCCTCTGGCACCTATTGGAGGCATCATTGGGTGGATGTTTGCTGTGGAGCAGGACGGATTCAGGAATGGTTTCAGCATCACTGGTAATTTATATCTGACACTAAAATCAATGGGCCACACAGTGGTGCCAGGGTGGGGGGCAGGGGGAGCTGGGAGTGAAAGGAAAGGGAACATTTTGTGGCTCCTTTTTGTCTATAGACAGAGTACTCTGTAGTTCTGCCCCAGAAATAAAACGAAAATGTAAAATTAGCATGTATTATTTTTTCTTTTTTTTTTTTTGTCTTTTTCCGTGTCCGGCAACGGATCGCAACCCTCAGTG